GGGCGGGAAGTGGTGTGCAGGAAGACAGTGTGGCACCAGCCCGGCTGCATGCCAGGGACTCGGGGCAGGGGAGGGGGTGCAGGGAGAAGGGGGCAACAGAGGTTAGGTTCTCCTAACCTTTGTTCTTTCTGCCTAGGGGTGGGCAATTATTTGGGCTGGAGGGCCACTTAGGGAATTTTGGTGAGCTGTTTTGGGGGGAGGGGGAGGGAGGATGTGCTGATCCCGCCCATGACAGCTCACCCAAACTCCCTAAGTGGCCCTCTGGCCCAAATAACTGCCCACACATGTGCTAGAACATTGGTTCACTCTGTTCCTGAAAATAAGACTGTTTTTGAATTAGTAACTTGCTTGCATCTTTGACATACTAGTTCTGCTGGGTACCCAGCACATACTAGTTCTGCTTGGGACCCCCACAAAAATTGTTCTGCTGGGTACCCAGCACATACTAGTTCTGCTGGGTACCCAGCACATACTAGTTCTGCTGGGTACCCAGCACATACTAGTTCTGCTGGGTACTTGATTCACATTTTCTGGTATTAGCACCAAAATACAGTTTGTGTGTGGCAGCAATCATAATTATGCCACCAAGTATAGTTCTCACCTGTAAAGGTGCCACCTTCTAGGTCAATTTAGCATTATTTTTAGTAAGTTCAGTCACTCAGAAGTAGATTTTATTTTTGTTAGATCTGCAGAATTCCTACTAGCACAGGAGGAGGAGGAACTGGAAGGTTTTCTGGCTCATGCATCGTCTATCAAATAGTAAGCTGTTTCTGAGTGCAGAACTTCTTACTGTTGGTTGTGAGCCAAAAAAATGCATTTTGACTCTTGTACCCCAAGTGTAGTTGTAGGCTCCTATGGGCAGAGTCTGGGCAGATCACAACAGGGTGTTTGGTCAAGCTAGTTGAGCTAACCAGTTTTACTTTTGCTGCTGGCTTTGGCCAAGGACCCACTGTGCAGGGCTCTTGGCTCTGCTGCAGCCAGGCTAGTGGATAATACCCAGAGGCCACCCCAGGCTTCTTAGCAATGCAAAACAAACAAAAGAAGTTAAACAAATAAGTTAGCACTTAGCTGTCTTCCAGGCTTCACCCCTTGGCTGCCTCTTATCTTTCAGAGGCTTTGCAGAGCCTGCAGGCTTATACAAGAAAGCAAATGATCAAGCAAGGAAACCCAGGGGGAGGGAGAGAGAATCCAGCCAGCCTGCTCCCTGGGCCACATGCAGCCCTTTGAGGTTGCTTTCAGTGTCTTTTATCCTTCCCACTCGGGGCTCATGTGGCTAATTTTCTCTCATTCCCCACACCTGTCATCTCTCTTGCTGCGGGACTCACTACATCCCAGGACCTGGTTCCCCATCCTCTGGTGAGTTCTCCCAGGTCTGGGGTGTGTAGAGGTGCTTCTGAACTGTGGAGCTGTTCAGACTCCCCTAAACCCCTAGTAACAGGGCAGGGCCCTGTTACACAGGGCTATCAGTTACAGACCCCCGCCCCCACCCCCCGCCCAAATCTTTTTACTTGTAAGCTAGGGAGATCTGTTGCTGAAACTTTTCAGACAATAAACATTGGACCCCATGAGACCCTTTAACAGTCTCTATTCAGAGCAGAACTACTCTAAGATCTGATTGGACACTGCAAATATACAGCAACTTACACGTGTATTTGGAATCTGCATTGCTTAGGGCATGAAGAGATTTCTACCATCACTGTGTTATGCTGTTTTCTGGAATGGCGACCATATTGTATTTGTGTAACTTGACCATTGTACAAGGATAGGATGCTGGCCAATCACTTAACAGGAGGACAAGTGGATTCCTTTTCATTTGCCTGATGGCCAAACCAGGAGCTAAAGCAGAAATCAACAGAACAAGCAGGGTCTTTAGAACACATAAGTATGTCCATCACATCCAGGAAAGAACTAGTACATTCAAGCATATTACTATGTTAAATTCAATGGGAGGTACGTACTTTTGAAAATCCTGTTAGGTGCCCACCTGCATTTTAGATGCTTAAATACCCTGGAAAATCTGGCCCTAAAATTATGCCTGCCCCCAAGGGAGAGAGAGAGGCAGGGACCTCTCTCCCCTCTGTGCACTTACCCAGTGTGTATTTATTCAGCGTGGCTAGTTCTGATTTTGTATGTAGTGCTGAGTAGCCCCAGTGGAACCCATTTAGAAAGTGGTATGTATGAAAATACAGCCCTCCACTTCCACATATTCCAGGATGATGTTATTTGGGGCACCTGCTGTGCCTTGAAGATGACTTCTGCAGTCATAGCTCAAAAGTGGATTTTTATCCAAATAGTACAGTATTTATTAGGCCTGTGCGAATAGGGAAGTATTTGATTCAGATTTGAATTCGGTCATTTTGGAGGACAGTGAATCAAATCAGAGATTTGGATCACTGTCCTGAATCAATTTTGAATTTACATGCCCATGAGTTTTATTTGCAGTGTCTGCTGCTCCTTCTAGTTTACTGTACATTATTTAAAGAGAGGTCTGCTACAGCTCTACGTACCACTCTCTCTTCTACTGTTCATAGTATCAAGAAAGAGTATTTCCTGATTAACAGAGGAGAAAAACAGCCAGGATATTGAATAATGGGAAGGGCCAATCTTGCATTCCTTCTCCCACTCTGCAGAACAGATTGTTAGAATGCTAAAATTAGCAGATATCCTAGTGGCATGGAACATCTGAAGCAAATGATACTACTTGTGCCTGCCTAATTTCAGTTTAATCTGCTACCCAGCAGAGGAGAATCAGATGTTCGTTTTCACAGTGAGCGATGAGTAGAATGGAGTCAGTGTTACAGTTTTTGTCCTAAAACTGGACCTCCCTGGAAAGTGAATAACTTGTCCTTTAAAAAAAAATATATATTTATATTAGGGTTGACAAATGATTAAAATAAATTAATCAAAATTAATTCTGAGATTAAAAAATAGTAACAATTAATTGCCATTTTAATTGTACAATTAAACGATAGTCAGCACCCCCCCACCCAACAGCCTGGAGCCCTGTGCACCCTGCAGGTCCTCCTTGCCACCAGCTACAGCGCACAGCTGTAGCCCCGATCCCAGCCCGCCTTGGACTTGCCCCGGCTGGAGTGGATCAACTGGAACCCATGCAAACATCCCCGACCCTGGCCCACCCTGTGCTTGCTCCAGACTCACCTGCCTATGCTGAGCAGTGGCAGTGGCCAGGCAGGAGCTGCTGCTTAGCGCGGAGGAAAAACGGCCCCTTCCCCTCACCGCTGCTGGGCCCTTCTTTCTGCAGCTGCCCTGCAGCTCCTCTGCACTGCCACCGCATCACGGCCCAGAGGCGGCAGCGATGGCAGCAGAGAGGACCCACAGAGCAGCCCAGGTGCAGACTCTGGGCGACTGCAACAAGAAGGGCCCGGTAGCGATGACGGGGTGGGCCACTTTCCCTCGTATCAAATAGCAGCTTCTGTCCAGCTGCTGCCACTGCTCAGCATGGGCGGGTGTCTGGAGCAGGCATTAGGTCAGGGCTGTGCACATGGGGTCCAGCTGGTCTGCTCCCCTGGTCAAAACAATGTTTGCAATTTACACAATTAAAAAAAATAAATGGGTTAATTTGTTTTTGCCTTGATCCTGTAAGTTAACTGCGATTGACAGCCCTAATTTATATACATACATACACGCTCTCTCTCTCTCCTGAATGGACATCTCTAGCATAGTCTGCAGTTGCTGGGATTTCCTCATCAAGCAAAAAATACTTTGTATTTCTGTAAAAAGAAACTGGTCAGATTCGGATACCCTTAACTCACTTCACTATACATGATAATTACTTATAGAGTAAGTTATTATCCAGATGAAATACGCACCTCGTCTATATTGTCTTTCACATTACTGACATAAACATTCCTTTTGTGGACACACTCGAGTGCAAAGCTACAGTGCTCAAAATCTCTGCTCAGCTGGTGCCTAACCCTTGAGTCATTTAAAGTCCAGAGGTATCTAACTTTTTAAAATTAAGGTTCCCCGAGTTATACCTCTGTCCTATCTGAAGTTGGCATCATTGTCAGTTCCTTGATTCAAAGATGACTGAGTCGGCAAATCTGAGATCCACATATTTTATTGAAGACGTAGCAAATAGATCTAGAAGAACCTGGTGATGTTGAGTTCTTCCAAGCCCTTTCCCTTTGTCTCTCTCATCTATCCACCTCCAAAGTGAGGTGACTTTGCTCAAAATGATCAATGCCTAGTCATATACCATGGTGTCATTGGGAGATGATTCAGTGCTTGAGTCTCCCAGGTATTGATATTAATATTGCATTTTTTCTGATTGGCCTTCAAAGTGTCCTTGAATCTTTCCTTTTACCCACCTTTGGAGTGGTGATCATTGGTGAGTTGGGAGTATAGGACTTGTTTTGGGAGCCAGTTGTTAGGCATCGTTCTGACATGTCCTCTTTAGCAAAGTTGGTGCTGTATATTCATGGCTTCAATGCGGGGAGTGTTTGCTTGAGCCAGAATACTGGTGTTCATTCTTTTGTCCTTCCAGTTGATATGGAGGATTTTCTGAAGACATTGTTGATGGCAACATCCCAAAGCTTTCCGGTGTTTTCAATACATCATCCAAGTCTCACACCCATACAATGGGGTAGGGATGACAGCAGTGTGGTAGATGAGAAGTTTGGTTTGGGTCCTGATGTTATGATCATTGAAGACACAATTTCAGAGATGTCCAAAAGCAGCAGTGGTAGATTTAACCTGGTGTTGAATATTGTAATCTCTGTTTACTTTTTGGGAAAAGTAGCTACCCAGGTAGGGGAAATGCTCAACATTCTCCAAGGATTGCCCTCTAATTGTAATGTATGAAGGAACAGTTGGTTGGTTTGGCATGGGTTGGCAAAGTATCTTGGTTTATGTGAAGTTGACTAAGTCCAAGTGTTTCATATGCTTCACAGAAGCAATCAAGAGTGCCCTGGAGCTTTTCAATTGTGCAAGCACACATTAGAAAATTGTCAGCGTATTGAAGTAACGGAGGCATTGGTTACCTTGGATTTGCAATGTGACCAGTTGTAGTTAAAGCGATTCTCATGCACGTGATATTGGATGTTGTCTCCAGATGGAAGTCTGCAATCAGATGCAAAATAGCTGCAATATAGATGGAAAAGTGTGTTGGTGCGATCACACATCCTGGCTTGACAACTCGAGTTTTAATAGTAAAGGAGTCAGTTTTCAAACTATTGCTTAGGACAGTTGCTGTCATGAAGGAGTCTTGTAATAGTGACAAATCTTGGTGGGCATCCGAATCTCATCAGGATCTTCCATAGAGTTTCTCTGAATGAATCAAAGGCCTTAGCCTTTATTGACCTATGTATTGATTTCTGTGTTGCTTGCGACACTTTTCCTGCAGCTGTCTAGCAACAAAGCTTGATATCTATTGTGCCTCTGAGTGGTCTAAAACCACATTGTGACTTGGGTAGAAACTTCTTATAAAGGTACTGCCAAATTTAGAGTAGCCACTTTGCAGTTGGATGCTCTTTCTCTCCCCCTTTCTTTTTCCTAAACTGTTAAGCATGATCACTTCTTATTTCTTTCCCCTCAGTTTTTCTTGTAATTTATTTCTGTGGTATTTGCACATTTCCACATTTAGATCATCACAGATGCTGTATTAGGGAATTGGCTATGTACTAGGACTTTACTGTAGTGGTTCTCTACCTTTTTGACTTGAGAGACACTTCATAAAATCTCAGATCTTAGTTTTCACTTGTTTTTGGACTACAGAAGAATTTCTCCATTATTTTTCTATTGCAAGGAATTAAAAAAACAAAACAAAACAACATTCTGGTCTGTTGTGGTCTAACACTGTGGATTCCTAGTTGAAATCTCTGGGTTTATTATGCGACTCAAACCAGTCAAACTAGCCGGCAGCTGGTCAGATGCTAGCCCCAGTCCAGCTGGGTCCCTCCCATGAGGACACTGAGGAGGAGTCAGGTGACCCGGAGGAACAAGCCCTTTAGAGGGGGACCATAAAACCCACTTTGTACTTCTTGTGGGACTTGTCCCAGCAATGGCGCTCCTGTGTGTGTGCTTCTGGACCTCTCTCTTGCTCCTGCCCGACTACAGCCTTGTTCCTGCCCTGCTCCTTCCTGCCTGATCCCAGCCTTGACACGCAGAGCCCTGCCCCTGCCCTGTTTTAGACCTCCTGGCTCTGATCTTTCCATTCGCCAGTTGCAATTCTGTAAATTAGTCCTGTATCTTTAGGTCACCTTTCTGTACTGATGGAGGAACCAAATGCCATATTGGCTCCGACAAAGAAGAAGGGCTAGAGCCACAAAAGACTCGGGAACTCAAAGCCTAGGGGTGAAGCTGTGGGCTCAGAGGCTGCCTAACCCTGGAGTCGCTTAAAGTGTGCGGGGCACCTGCCCTTCCCAGAGGGAGGTTCCCCCACGGACACCTGTGTCCTCCCTGATGCCCGAGCCACACCTTGGGCCTGCCCTGCTTGAGGGCTCCTCCCCAGCCTACTCCTCTGCCAGGACGGGGGCTTCTGCATCGGGCTCCGTACAAGAGGTGGAGGACGTGGCCGCTGCTTTCCTTCACACCACGTCCTGCAGAGACGCGCCGGCCCCCCTGGCCAGCCCAGCGGTGCCCAAGCAGAGCACCTCAGCGGGTCTCGGGCCCCACACAAGGGCGGGGGGGCGGGGCCGGGGGCCCGCGGGCATGCGGCCCCA